AATGGTCATTAAAGGGACACTGTAGTCAGTATAACCACTTTGTCTCTTTGAATTGGTTATAGTGCCTGGAGTGCCCTGGCACTGTCCCTCCATTCAGTGTTGCACCATGTTTGTGCAATATGCCACAAAATAAGAGTCCCTGGCCACCCACAGTCCGGTCCCTTCTGTATGTGTAGCTAAGGCAGAGATTACACACTTCCTTGTTGTCATACCCATTCATACTTGGAGCTCTGACAGGTTAAAAGCAGTCAGCTGACACTCTCAGCCAATCACAGCTGGCCATTGCTGCTCAGGGTAAAACTTCCTTATTAGCCAAAGCAGCAGAGAGGGCATGGACTGCCGGGGTCTCTTGTTTAGCATTAAAACATTACAACATTAAAAACTGTTTAATGCTGAAAGAAATGATGGCACCAGGGGACTCCATACACTATAACCAGTTTAATGAGACGAAGCAGATACAGTGCTTACGGTGTCCCTTTAAGCCGATAGTCCTACAGAAAAATAATAATTCTGCAACATTCTATTGACTTTTTATTATATTACCTCTGGAAATCCACTGTATTCATTATTAAACAAACAAAGCATTACAGTTGTAAATATTAATAAAGTGGTAAAAAAAATCAGAGGCATCATTTCAGTGAGCAAGTCAAACTGATTTTGAGCCATTATGAAATAACTGACTGGCTCGACAAGTGGCAAATACATTGAATTTATATTGATATAACAGTTATCCAGATATAAGCCAAGTCCAGTTTACAAACTAACACAAGTTGCTTGCTGTATCCTTACTTAATTGCTCTCTTTTCTTCTTTGAATTATAGGCTTAAGAAACTCTGTAAAAGAGAGAATCAATATTTTGTCAAGAGCAAAGAGCGGAATAGAGCCGGCTGCTTTGTCTTACTTTAATTGCCTGTAAAAACCTTTCAGTACGGCACAGTTTGTCAGTTACAGAATTCCCGAATGTTGTCCCTTACAATATATTCTTGTTATACAAAACACATATGCTTTTTCATCTCTTGTAGAAACACTTGTAATGATATTCTGTTCATGTATCTTATATTCATTGAAGTTTGTTTGACTTAGAAGAACAACAGGGGTCCTTTATAAAGCTAGCAGAGGTTACTAATGCTTTTCAAAGTTGATATGAGACCTGGGAGTTAATTGATTAATCTATACTATATGAGTAAAAATCTAAAGATGTTTGCTTTCCAACCAGTGGAATCATAATGGGAAATGCTACATTCATAAAATGGCAATGTCCTATGGGTATTCCCAAGTTATGAATTGATGTATATTTTCTTATAGTTTAACACGTTATTACTTTATGTACAAGATTTTATTACCCTTGAACTTTTGGTACATTTTATATTATTTCAGTCTATTGTAGCCTGTACTAAAGGAATGTAAATAACAAAAAATATCAGATACATCATAATATATGCTAGATGTCAAAATACTAACTAAAGAAACTTGCGTTAAGCTATATATTGATCCTGCCTATAGCTATCAAACACTGGCTCCTCATAAGAAAGTCACACTTTAAGTGTGTTCTTCTCTGACACCTTAAGTAGAATTCTACACTGAATTATGTCACGGCATGGTACACTACTTTCCGCCATTTACATAGTAAGAAAAACAGTGGATATATTTTGGTTTCAGTATCATTCATATGCAGACCCCCTGAACACTTTAGTCACAGGACGGGTTTTCCTGTTGGGCATAGTAGGCATCTGCTTACAAGTGCCTGTCTTGTAGGGGCATGCCTATTTACAGCACTTAAAATATGCTTTTTTTGGAGCTTAGGTGGGCTGGTGAGGGGAGATAAGTACCAGGAGCCTTGGTCACTGACCCCTGTAGTGTAATCAGTCTCTTATGCATAATAGAGCTGCAGGAATAGTTATTGAATATGTAGATGCAGTGCTGTCCCAACTTCTTTATAGTCTATGTATGAAGCAGCTTAGGAAGTGGAAGGCATGATATCCCATCTCCCCACTAGCAGCCTCTCATACAGGAAATGCCATGCAGGATGATTAGGGGCAGCACTGAGTGATGAGCACTGTATAACAGCTTCTGCAGTTCTTCAAGAAATCATAGGTGTGTGAGTAATTTGCAAATAATCCTTTAAACTTCACATACCTGTACCCTAAGAGGAATACTTTAGTGGCAATCAAGCCATTGTATTCTTTGTCTATTTGTTTTACTTATTTTTAACCCTGCATGCAACTCTATACCCTCACTATTTTACTTTTTATGACTGCATGTCCAGTTAACATATACATTAAAACCACTTTAACTGGCTTTTTTTTGGAGGAGTGGGAGGGTAGGGGTGCTTTACATTTATGTGCCTACAGGCACCTGGCATGTAAATCTTTACCTGCTTAATCACAACCATATACTACCAAGCGCAACACTGCCCAGGGAGAATATATTAAAAAGAAGGTAAAATTATGATTTATAATTCAAAAAATAAAAATAATAGTAATAAAATAAAATTCTCAACTCAAATCCCTCTTTTTGCCAGAAAGCACAAGTTTTCTGCAGAGAGCCATCACAGACCAGTAAGTAAAACCTATCAGCTTATTCTGGGATTCATATACACCCTGTTCCAAATTATTATGCAAATTATATTTTTGTCCATTACATATTGGTTTCTACCTTGTTATCATAGTTCTGTTTTCTTTGCCTCCCCTGTGAGGGAAAAGCCTCCCAGAGATGCTGTTTGGATGTAAACTGCCTCCCACCCTCATAGATCTTTTGCTTGAGGATGCTCCAAAGGTTCTCAATAGGATTGAGGTCGGAGGAGGATGGAGGCCACACCATGACTTTCTCTCCTTTTATCCCCATAGCAGCCATTGATACAGAGGTATTCTTTGCAGCATGAGATGGTGCATTGTCATGCATGAAGATGATTTTATTACAGAAAGCATAGTTCTTCCTTCTGTACCAGGGAAGAAAGTGGTCAGTCAGAAACTCCACATCTTTACACCTTCGGGGACCTTAAAGGGGCTGACCAGCTCTCTTCCCATGATTCCCACCCAAAACATGACACCACGACTGCCTTGCTGACGTCGCAGCCTTGTTGGAACAGGGTGGCCGTCCACCAACCATCCACTATTCCATCCACCTGGACCATCCAGGGTTGCACGGCACTCATCAGTGAACAGGACTGAAAATTAGTCTTCATGTATTTTTCTGCCCAATGCAGCCATTTCTGCTTGTGAGCATTGGTTAGTGGTGGCCGAATAGAAGGTTAATGCACACTCTGGAGGACTCTACACCTTGATGTCTGTGGGACTCCAGAGGCACCAGCAGCTTCAAATATCTGATTGCTGCTATTTAAGGGTATTTTAGCAGCTGCTCTCTTGATCTGATGCATGGATCTGGCAGAAATCTTCCTCAATGTGCCTTTATCTACACGAACCTGTCTGTGCTCTGAATCAGCCACAAATCTCGTAATAGTGCGATGTTCACGCTTAAGTTTTTGTGAAATATCTAATGTTTTCATACCTCGTCCAAGGCATTGAACTATTTCAGTCTTTTCGGCAGCAGAGAGATCCTTTTTCTTCCCCATATTGCATGAAAATGGTGCTCTGCTTAATAATGTCGGACACCCCTCCTTTAGTAGTTTTTCCTTAAATTGGGCTTACCTGGCAATCTAATTATCACAGGTGTCCGAGATTGTTTTCAGTGATCAAAAGAACCCTGAGACACAATGCCATCCATGAGTTAAACTGAAAAACAAAATATTTAATCTTTGTGACACTTAAACAGAATTTGCATAATAATTTGGAACAGGGTGTAGTTTTCTGTGTGATAGTTGTGTGATAGTTGCATGTCTGTCAGTTGTCACTCTTCTCCTAATAAAAATACATAAAACCATGCATAGAGATATTTACATACACAAATAAAGCAGCAGTATGACCCTGCTGATGTCTTAATTTTTAAAAATAATTAAGCTACTGTGCAGAGGCGTAACTAAAACCACAGGGCCCCGGTGCGAAAATTTCCCTTGGGCCCCCCCTATACATCCCCGCCCCCTACATATCCTTACACATGCAGGCACACATACATGTAGACATACACATACATACACACACATACATACACACAGACATGTAGACACACACACATAAAATACAGACACATACATACAAATAACAACAAACATTAGAAGGTGAAATGGGCGCTAAACTTAAAAATACAAACTGGTGCAGCTTTTACCACCTCAGTGTATAGTCACACAAATACACTTCAAACTTGAAATCACCAATGAATAAGAAAGGTGATAGCGCATAGACACAGAAGTATTTTTTACCTTTAGCCAAAATACATATATGCAGGTCCTATTAGTAGTTACACTCCTTTAACTATGGACCCTGTATGTAAAATATAAAGAGCATAGCATAGTGTACACTGTTTCAATAAATGTATAAAATACAGGAAGGGAAAAAGTGCACTCACAATTTCTAGAGCAAAATAAGTGAGACTCTGGACTATAGAGGCATTTCATCCACCAAAGTGGAGTCTTTCTCCTTGAAGGTCCTCTATTACTCGGATTGCAGGAACCCAGGAATCAAATAAGATTGTTCAAAGTAGAATTTTTATTCCCATAAATAGAAAATAACAAATAAGTTTCAGCCATAAAACACAACGCGTTTCGACCTCTTGGAGTCTTCCTCAGGAACAGCATATTTTTCCCATAGTCTGTACACCTATATACCCCCTAAAGGGTGTGGGGTTACAGGTGTAGAGGCTAATTGGGATAATTACATTTCCAAATATGGCCTTGACCGGAAGTCAACCACGTCATGGTGGTGCTTCCGGTTTTCGGCATGTCATATAGACATACATTATGTCTATGGGCATATAACATAAATGTCCATTAACTACAGTCTCTTCCAGGTATAGCATGATGGCGGCACGTCCTTTTCTGGTGATGTCCGCTTCCGGTTTTCGGAGTCATGTGACATCTCCCGATGACATGCTACCGCTACCGCCACCGCCAGCATTGTTATAGGCTGTCCGCATCCACTACTGGAGACGGGACGCTCCTCTCATCTTCGCGTAATACATACAAATTCCAATCCAGAAAGAGGGAGGAGTGTTCATACAATTAGTGCTCAAAGTTCTGTGGTATTATGGAATACCTTGTATATTATAAGCCTCCATTTTGGAAAAGGGCGGAAGTCCCAAAAGCCATGTAAAAATGTTCATAAAAGATATAAAAGTACATATTAATACAAACTAATAACCACACATTAAAAAGACATACACATCGCCACTTCATAAAAATCTCAGTGTAATAAATGTATACAAAAAAAAATATATATAACCCAAGAAATAAGTAAATAGATAAGGGACATTTTGTATAAAAAAGGACCATTAAAAGCTTAATAAAAAATGGAAATAAATAATCAATTTCTATTTAAAAGGGCTAGATTATAAAATGGAATTCATTTCAAAATCTATTTTCAATCCTTTTGGGGTTAAAGTGCGTAACTCAAAAAAACATTTTGTTTCCCGCAGACTTAGTTTTTTATTATAATCCCCTCCTCTCTCCAATGCATGGTAACTTTTTCTATTGCACAAAATTCTATTTTTTTTGGATCAGTGTTATGTTTATCTAAAAAATGTTTTGACACACTATGGTTAGTGAAGCCTCTCTTTATATTTCTTATATGTTCACTAATTCTTATATTATGTGCCTTGGTAGTTTTACCCACATACTGAAGCCCACATTCACATGATAATAAATAAATAACTCCTTTTGATTGACATGTGATGGGGCGTTTTATATCATACGATCTTCCAGTCGTTTTGGATGCAAAACTCTTTATATTTTTATTGTTACAATTAGAATTTTTGCTTGCATTGCAAGTTCCGCAATGACAGAAACCTTTCTGAATTTCTGCCCAACTTGATAAAAAGTTTTTGGATTTCTCTTTTTCAATAAAGCTTGTGGTTAAGATTTGTCTAAAAATGTTTGCTCCCCTAAAAACAAACCTGGGTTTTGGCCCTTTATAATTTGAAATATCATGATCTTGTGTTAAAATGTGCCAATTTCTATTAATAATTATTTTAATTCTCACTCATTTTTATTTAATATTTTTGTTTCAACCCCTTTTTCTAGAAAACGATGATATTTTACTTTAATCTCACTTACTGGGTCATTCCTTAGCTTTAGATATGTATTAAAGGGACACTATAGTCACCTGAACAACTTTAGCTTAATGAAGAAGTTTTGGTGTATAGAACATGCCTCTGCAGCCTCACTGCTCAATCTTCTGCCATTTAGGAGTTAAATCCCTTTGTTTATGAACCCTAGTCACACCTCCCTGCATGTGACTTGCACAGCCTTCCATAAACACTTCCTGTAAAGAGAGCCCTATTTAATCTTTCTTTATTGCAAGTTTTGTTAAATTAAGATTTTCTTATCCCCTGCCATGTTGATAGCTTGTTAGGCCCTGCAAGAGCCTCCTGTATGTGATTAAAGTTCAATTTAGAGATTGAGATACAATTATTTAAGGTAAAGTACATCTGTTTGAAAGTGAAACCAGTTTTTTTTTTCATGCAGGCTCTGTCAATCATAGCCAGGGGAGGTGTGGCTAGGGCTGCATAAACAGAAACAAAGTGATTTAACTCCTAAATGACAGTGAATTGAGCAGTGAAATTGCAGGGGAATGATCTATACACTAAAACTGCTTTATTTAGCTAAAGTAATTTAGGTGACTATAGTGTTCCTTTAATATCATCCAATTGGTTTTTTACTTCATGTAAGTAAACATCTTTATCCTGTATGACCACTCCTCCGCCTTTGTCGGCGGGTTTTATAATTATTGAGGTATCTCTACTCAAAGCCTCCATCGCTTTTTTTTCCTTAATAGAGATTGTAACGGCACCCTCAGCATAAAAGGGTTAAACCGCCGTTTAGGAGATCTTCCCCTTCCAGAGATACAGGCACAGCTACTGCAGAACACCAAACTCCCGAACCTCATATAAGGGAATGCTCTAAACTCCAGAACTGCATACAATATAGCACTTCAAACTCCTGAACTGAAACCTCATGAATAGCTGCTAGCAGACGAATAGGAAAAGCACTCAAGCGGCTTACACTCCTAGCAATCAGTCTCTATCAGCATACAGTAAATCCCCCCAAAGACGAGACAAGGCTCCGTGTTGTGGGTAAAGCAGTGGTCTGTTTTTAATGAGGGCTACCTGCCCAGTATTTATGCAGGTCTCCCACCTGGTGGACACTCCCCTAGGGGACCAGATGGAAGACTGTGACAAAGACATTGTAGCAACCAATCACAGGGTACACACTTAGCCATTCCCCCTTTCTTACCCAGAACCCTCTGCTCTGCTCAGGGAGATAATTGTGAAGTAATTCAATTATCTCCCATGACAGAGCCTAAACACCATTTTAGATGACAATAACAAAAAGACATAAAAATACATAACTGTTATATTTTACAACATTTTACAAGCATTCAACATGTCCCCAGATAGCTAGGATCTGAGCACAACAAAGTACCGAATCGCGCTCAGAATCTATGCACATAGTCCAATCGCCGTGGAGCCAAAGTGTTCACAAAGTCAGTTTTCATACGAATGAGCTCCACGGGATTCCTATCTGGGGTATGGTGTATTCAGGTACAAACTACCGAATATAGGGCCGGTCGTGCACTTCTACCGAACAAGAAGGGAGGTCGGCGGCTTCAGAGGTGTTCACGCCAAAATGTATCCGTTCTCAGTTCCATGAGTTAGGCGTCAAACACCGCTGTGCGTTCGCGTGTTCAAAATGGCCGCGACCTCGCGTTCGGTATATGAATGGCGGCCACCCAGCATTCGTCAATTAAGCTGCAGTTAACCGCAGCTTCTGGGAGGTTAATTGCCGACACACTCTAGCTCCCAGGTGGTCCAGTCATTTGTGCGTTAGTTTGGTAGATTGAATCTACCGACCGCTGGGCAGAAAGGCACGAATAAGCCTTTTCTGCAGGGGAAAAGAAGTCTTTTAACATGGGGCCATAATCCAAAGGCAACAGGCGAGCAACCAGGCTTCTCCAATGCAATGTGGCGAGATTGGTCTCTTCACAAAGATGTTAGAATTAAACTTATTTAGGTGATAGACAAAAAATGGAGTTCTACGCATCAAGTAGGTAGTGCACACCCAGTAGCTACTGCAGTTTATTAGAGGACACAATATAAACAAACATTTCGGGCAACAAGCCCTTCCTCAGTGCTAATGTCCTAAACAATACAAGCAGTACAGACCATATATACAAGTGAAAGAAATGCTTGCATTCAAAAGAGTGCCACCCACCAGCAATAATGCAAATTAACAGCAGCTGAAACTGACAATCTCCATGTTTCCAGCATGGTCATAGTCTCTAGTCACTTCCTGTTTCAGTTGGTCTGTGTGTGATGACGTCAGCAGACACGCCCATTGTGTGTAACATCATCACATTCCGTTGCTAGGAAACAGAGCAGTAAACAAGAAATGTATAGTAATGCAAATAGAGCAGAAGCTTATAACACTAGCAGGAAAAAACGAAACACTCATGAAAATGAACAAGAGCAAGCAGTAAATTGTAAATAAGGAGCATAAAGCTCCAGAAAAGCTTATGGGGACTTGGAATATTGCCAGACAGCTACACATTAAAGAAGAATACAAGTCAAAGTACAGAAAAAATGTGAAACTGTCATAATGACAGGTGAAACCAAACAGAAAAAAAAAGGCAGGTAGAACCTCTAAATATAAATCTAGCACCCCCCAAAAAGGGGAGGAGGATATACAGTGTGCCAGGGAAAGATGGAACTATCTACAGAGAGAGACTATGGACATAATAAAAAAGGATCATGCAAATACAAGGTAATATAAGAAAATATATGTATACATACCCAGATCCAGGAGACCTCCCGAAGCGGGCACAAGCTGGATGCATCTACAGGAACCAGTGCCACTCAAGCTTCTCATTGAGACCATGAGGGGACACTGTGTCCAGCAGGTGCATCCAGCGCACCTCTTTTTGGAGACGCATCTTTTCCCTATTACCTCCTCTCGTAAGTGGAGGGACCCTATCAAGTACTTGATACCGTAGTTGTCTCTTTTCCCTAAAATGTCTTGCAACTGGTGTATCACAGGTCATGTTACGGATAGTTGTTTTGTGTTGGGATACCCGATCTTTGAGGGCACGTATGGTCTTGCCTACATAACCAAGACCACAGGGACATTTAAGTAAATAGACTACAAAGTCTGTTTGGCATGTAAAGAACCCTTTTAATTTGATCTGTTGACCTGTCCTAGGATGTGTGCAGAATTCTCCCTTAATAACTCTGCTACAATGGTTGCAGCTGAGACAGGGGTAAGGGCCATATACAGGTTTGGAAAGAAATATCTGTGTCTTGTGGGGCGCATTATCTGCCCTAACTACCATATCTCTTATGGACCGACCCCGTTTATTGGCAAATAATGGAGTTTTTTTGAAAAGATGTCCAATCTGCCTGTCTGATTGCAACAAAAAACTATTTTTACGTACAATTTTCTGAATTTGGGATGTAAGTGATGAGTAAGTACTTACAAAAGAGATTCTGTCATGTTTGGGTCTATGAGGTGTGGAAAGAAGTTCCTCACGGGATATGTGCAAGGCTTTGCACTTCGCTTTCCGGATAAGTCGAGTGTTGTAACCCTTGTCCAAGAATTTTTGTGAGAAGTCAGTCAGTCGTTCATTAATTATACTTTCATCATTAACAGTGCGTCGAACCAGCAGGAACTGACTGTATGGGATAGAGGAAATCTGTTTAGTGGAATGAAAACTGTTCACATGTAACATACTGTTAGAGTCTGTTGGTTTAGTGTATAGGTCAGTACGTAGGAATCCGTCATGCTTGCTAATCTGCACATCCAAGAAATTTACAGAGCTGGTGCTGATGGAACTAGTAAACTGTATATCCCTGTGGAATTGATTTAAAGAAACAAGAAAAACATCAAGTTCCGCCGGTGTTCCATGCCGTAACATGAAGCAATCGTCGATAAATCTTAACCACACAATAGCATGTAATCTAAATAGTTTGTGTGGATACACAAACTGCTCCTCAAAGTCTGTCATAAAAAAGATTTGCATATGAGGGTGCCATATTTGCCCCCATAGCAGTTCCTTTAATTTGTTCATAGAATATAGTGAGATATCTGAATAAATTCTTCTTCAGAACAATCTCCAGAATTTGTTAATACACTAGGCAACTTATCACGTACCACCCCCAATCCTTCATTATGAGGTATAGAGGTGTAAAGGCTTGACACATTTAGTGCCAACAATAAGTCAGTGGGCTCTACATCTACTTGTCTGATTTTTAGGAGAAAATCTTTGGTGTCTTGAATATAAGACTTCCCAGATGTCACCAAGGGCTGTAAGAACTGATCTATAGAGATAGCCAATGGTTGAAAAATAGAATCTGTGCCAGAGACTATAGGGTGGCCAGGTGGATGAAGAGCATCTCTGTGCACCTTTGGTAAGGTATAAAAAAACTGGTGTTCTTGGGAATTTATTAATAAGAAAAGAAAACTGGGAGTTGTTAATTAACTCATCCTTAAGGGCCTGCTCCACTACAGTCTGAATGATTTTGGCTACATGGGCAGTAGGATCATTCTTCAGTATCTTATAATTGTTCCTATCCATCAGTTGCCTCATGATCTCATAATTATAGTCCTGTCTATCCTGTATCACAATTAAGCCACCTTTATCAGCAGGCTTAACTATGATATCAGGATTATGTGAGATTTCTTTGAGTGCATTTCTTTCTGTCAAGGTCAAATTATGTTTTATATTCTGTTGTTGCCAGGGTAATTTTTCCACCTGAGAGTTCACTATATAACAAAAGGTCTGAATGGTGGGGTTAGCTACAACTGGGAAAAAGGTACTTTTCTTTCTACAAACCTCCAAATTCGGTGCATAGTTAGACAAAGTGCCCGCTGGGATATCATCTCCTGGAAGAGGGTTGTCTCCCCAGCTTTGGGGTTGATGGGCTGAAAAAAATGCACGCATGTTAATTAAACGAAAAAAAACTTTTGTAAATCCATTTTACATGAAAATAAATCAGATTTAAAAGTAGGTACAAAGTTTAAACCTTTGCCTAGTGCAAACATTTGATTGGTATTAAGTACTGTTTTAGAAAGATTTAATACCCCTTGTCCTTGTGACTCTTTTACAGAGTCTCGCTGCGAGTTTGTAGCTTGTTGCTTTTTCCTGAATTGTCCCACGTTGCCCCTTCCTGTGTGGGGCGTACTCCTAAAAAAGGACGTGTAGTTGTGCTGGTAGACGAGACGTCTGAGTCGGATCCAGTGGTAAATGTCTCCGGTGAAGAGGTAGGGCCCCGTTTTCCTTGTAATGAGTGTCTGGATTATTGCTTCCATGTGTATACACGGTCAAACTGGTAGTCTAGAGTGTCTCTTTTGAATTTGCGGATTTTAACTGCTTCCAATTCCTTTCTAAGCTTAGATACAGAAACAGCAATTTCTTGAGTGACTTTCTGGAGTTTCTCTGCTTCAATCTGTGCAGCTAATAGAGTGGAAATCTCGTTCTTCTGTCTTATGATTTTATCCAGACAGAAAAACAAGATTTCCACTCTATTAGCTGCACAGATTGAAAACGGGACCCTACCTCCTCACAGGAGCACAACCTTTTTTTAGGGGTACACCCCACACAAGAAGGGGCAACAGGGGACACTTCAGGAAAAAGCAACAAGCTACAAACTCGCAGCGAGACTCTGAAAAAGAGTCACAAGGACAAGGGGTATTAAATCTTTCTAAAACAGTACTTAATACCAATCAAATGTCTGCACTAGGCAAAGGTTTAAACTTTGTACCTACTTTTAAATCTTATTTATTTTCATGTAAAATTGATTTACAGAAGTTTTTTCATTTAATTAACCTGCATGCATTTTTTTCAGCCCATCAACCCCAAAGCCAGGGAGACAACCGTCTTCCGTCTTGTAGAAAGAAAAGTACCTTTTTCCCAGTTGTAGCTTACCCCACCATTCAGACCTTTTGTAATATAGTGAACTCTCAGGTGGAAAAATTACCCTGGCAACAACAGAATATAAAACATAATTTGACCTTGACAGAAAGAAATGCACTCAAAGAAATCTCACAGAATCCTGATATCATAGTTAAGCCTGCTGATAAAGGTGGCTTAATTGTGACACAGGATAGACAGGACTATCATGATGAGATCATGAGGCAACTGATGGATAGGATCAATTATAAGATACTGAAGAATGATCCTACTGCCCATGTAACCAAAATCATTCAGACTGTAGTGGAGCAGGCCCTTAAGGATGAGTTAATTAACAACTCCCAGTTTTCCTTTCTTATTAATAAATTCCCAAGAATACCAGTTTTTTATACCTTACCAAAGGTGCACAAAGATGCTCTTCATCCACCTGGCCGCCCTATAGTTGCTGGCACAGATTCTATTTTTCAAACCCTGGCTATCTTTATAGATCAGTTCTTACAGCCCTTGGTGACATCTGGGAAGTCTTATATTCAAGACACCAAAGCTTTTCTCCTAAAAATCAGACATGTAGATGTAGAGCCCACTGACTTATTGGTGACACTAGATGTGTCAAGCCTTTACACCTCTATACCTCATAATGAAGGATTGGGGGTGGTACGTGATAAGTTGTCTAGTGTATTAACAAATTCTAGACTCTGTACATTTGTGACTACGCTTCTGGAGATTGTTCTGAAGAAGAATTTATTCAGATATCTCACTATCTTCTATGAACAAATTAAAGGAACTGCTATGGGGGCGAATATGGCGCCCTCATATGCAAACCTTTTTATGACAGACTTTGAGGAACGGTTTGTGTATCCACACAAACTATTTAGATTACATGCTATTGGGTGGTTAAGATTTATCGACGATTGCTTCATGTTATGGCATGGAACCCGGGCGGAACTTGATGCTTTTCTTGTTTCTGTAAATCAATTCCACAGGGATATACAGTTTACTAGTTCCATCAACAGCAGCTCTGTAAATTTCTTGGATGTGCAGGCAAGCAAGCATGACGGATTCCTACGTTCTGACCTATACACTAAACCAACAGACTCTAACAGTATGTTACATTTCATTCCCCTAAACAGATTTCCTCTATCCCATACAGTCAGTTCCTGCGGGTTTGACGCATTGTTAATGATGAAACTATAATTAATGAATGACTGACTGACTTCTCACAAAAATTCTTGGACAAGGCTTACAACACTCGCCTTATCCGGAAAGCGAAGCGCAAAGCCTTGCGCATAACCCGTGAGGAACTTCTTTCCACACCTGATAGACCCAAACAAGACAGAATCTCTTTTGTAAGTACTTACATCCCAAATTCAGAAAATTGTACGTAAAAATTGTTTTTTGTTGCAATCAGACAGGCAGATTGGACATCTTTTCAAAAAACCTCCATTATTTGCCAATAAACGGGGTTGGTCCATAAGAGATATGGTAGTTAGGGCAGATACTGAGCCCCACAAGACACAGATATTTCTTTCCAAACCTGTATATGGCACTTACCCCTGTCTCAGCTGTAACCATTGTAGCAGAGTTATTAAAGGAGAATTCTGCACCCATCCTAGGATGGGTCAACAGATCCAATTAAAAGGGTTCTTTACATGCCAAACAGACTTTGTAGTCTATTTACTTAAATGTCCCTGTGGTCTTGGTTATGTAGGCAAGACCATACGTGCCCTCAGATCGGGATCGGGTATCCCAACACAAAACAACTATCCGTAACATGACCTCTGATGCACCAGTTGCAAGACATTTTAGGGAAAAGAGACAACTACGGTATCAAGTACTTGATAGGGTCCCTCCACTTACGAGAGGAGGTAATAGGGAAAAGATGCTCCTCCAAAAAGAGGTGCGCTGGATGCACCTCCTGGACACAGTGTCCCCTCATGGTCTCAATGAGAAGCTTGAGTGGCACTGGTTCCTGTAGATGCATCCAGGTTGTGCATGCTTCGGGAGGTCTCCTGGATCTGGGTATGTATACATATATTTTCATATATTACCTTGTATTTGCATGATCCTTTTTTATTATGTCCCTAGTCTCTCTCTGTAGATAGTTTCATCTTTCCCTGGCACACTGAATACTCTCCTCCCCTTTTTGGGGGTGCTAGATTTATATTTAGAGGTTCTACCTGCCTTTTTTTTCCATTTGGTTTCACCTGTCATTCTGACAGTTTCACATTTTTTCTGTACTTTGACTTGTATTCTTCTTTAATGTGTAGCTGTCTTGCAATTTTCCAAGTCCCCATAAGCTTTTCTGGAGCTTTATGCTCCTTATTTACAATTTACTGCTTGCTCTTGTTCATTTTGATGAATGTTTCGTTTTTTTCCTGCTAGTATTATAAGCTTCTGCTCTATTTGCATTACTATACAGACAGTTTCCTGTTTACTGCTCCGTTTCCTAGCAATGGAATGTGATGATGTCACACACAATGGGCGTGTCTGCTGACGTCATCACACACGGACCAACTGAACCAGAAAGTGACTAGAGACTATGACCATGCTGGAAACATGGAGATTGTCAGTTTCAGCTGCTGTTAATTTGCATTATTGCTGATGGGTGGCACTCTTTTGAATGTAAGCATTTCTTTCACTTGTATATATTGTCTGTACTGCTTGTATTGTGTAGGACATTAGCACTGAGGAAGGGCTTGTTGCCCGAAACGTTTGTTTATATTGTGTCCTCTAATAAACTGCAGTAGCACCTGGGTGTACACTACCTACTTGATGCGCAGTATTCCATTTTTTGTCTATCACCTAAATAAGATTAATTATAACATCTCTATTAAGGAAAAAAAAGCGATGGAGGCTTTGAGTAGAGATACCTCAATAATTATAAAACCCGCCGACAAAGGCGGAGGAGTGGTCATACAGGATAAAGATGTTTACTTACATGAAGTAAAAAACCAATTGGATGATATTAATACATATCTAAAGCTAAGGAAGGACCCAATAAGTGAGATTAAAGTAAAATATCATTGTTTTCTAGAAAAAGGAGTAGAAACAAAAATATTGAATAGAAATGAATGTTCTTTCCTTTCCCTGGAGAACCCAAGAGTGTCTGTTATTTATACACTTCCAAAGTTGCACAAAGATTCCATCCACCCCGGGGAGACCCATACTATCAGGGATTCATTCTATTCTGTCAGCTCTGTCACAGTATATTGATGCACATTTGCAACCATTAGTCAGAGGATGTCCGTCATTTTTACAGGACTCTATGAGTCTTTTAAATATATTACAAGATTTTAATTGGGAAGACTACTTTTATTTGATAACTTGTGATGTCACAAGTTTATATACAATAATAGACCATGACAAGGGTTGCGAGGCAGTAAAACATGTTTTAATTGAATCAGGCCAATTTCAAGAAATACAGATAGATTTTATTTTCGAGGGGATTAGGATGATTTTAAATAATAATTATTTTTGTTCGAGGGAGACTTCTATCTTCAGATCAGAGGGAATGCTATGGGGACCAAGTTCGCACCGATTTATGCCAATTTATTCACGGCATTTTGGGAAAAACAATTTGTTTATGGTGGCCATGAATTCGGTGCGCACTTGGTCCTCTATAAGAGATATATAGATGATATCTTCCTGATCTGGAAGGGACCTATTCAACAATTTTCAGCAATTTCCTTTGTTTTTAAATTCAAACACATGGGTGATTAAGCTTACCAAAGATATAAGCACAACAAACATTAGTTTTTTTAGACCTGGAGATTTATATTCACAATGATAGAATCACGACCCGTACACACTTTAAACAAGTAGATGTGAATAGCTACCGAAATAGATAGTTGCCATAATTTTCCTTGGTTAAAAAATATACCCAAAGGGCAATTTTTAAGACTTCGTAGGAACTGTTCTGAACAGTCAGTTTTTAGAAATCAAGCTAACGCTTTGAAAGAGCAGTTTAAACAAAAGGGATATTCCGAGGAAAAATTACAACAGGAGATTAATCAAGTCTTAGAATCTGATAGGGGTCAACTTTTAAAGTACAAAGAAAAAAACATCTCACAAGAGAAGAATGAAATCCCCCTTATTTTTAATTATGCAAGCAATATTCATTGTCTTAAAAGAATTATTAATAGAAATTGGCACATTTTAAGATCAAGATATTTCAAATTATATAGGGCCAAAACCCAGGTTTGTTTTTAGGGGAGCAAAAAATTTTAGACAAATCTTAACCACAAGTTTTATTGAAAAAGAGAAATCAAAAAACTTTTTATCAAGTTGGGCAGAAATTCATAAAGGTTTCTATCATTGCGGAACTTGCAATGCATGCAAAATTTCTAATTGTAACAATAAAAATATAAAGAGTTTTATATCCAAAACGACTGGAAGATCGTATAATATAAAATGCCCCATCACATGTCAATCAAAAGGAGTTATTTATTTATTATCATGTGAATGTGGGCTTCAGTATGTGGGTAAAACTACCAGGGCACTTAATATAATCATTAGTGAACATATAAGAAATATAAAGAGAGGCTTCAACTAACCATTTTTTTAGATAAACATAACTCTGATTAGAATTTTGTGCAACAGAAAAGTTACCATGCATTGGAGAGGGGGGATTATAATAAAAAAACTAAGACTGCATGAAACAAAATGGATTTTTGAATTACGCACTTTAACCCCAAAAGAATTGAACATAGATTTTGAAATGAATTCCATTTTATAATCAAGCCCTTTTAAATAGAAATTGATTATTTATTTCCATTTTTTATTAAGCTTTTAATGGTCCTTTTTTATACAAAATGTCCCTTATCTATTTATTTATTTCTTGGGTTATATATATATTTTTTTGTATACATTTATTACACTGAGATTTTTATGAAGTGGTGATGTGTATGTCTTTTTTAATGTGTGGTTATTAGTTTGTATTAATATGTACTTTTATATCTTTTTTTAATGTTTTTACATGGCTTTTGGGACTTTCGCCCTTTTCCAAAATGGAGGCTTGTAATATACAAGGTATTCCATAATACCACAGAACTTTGAGCACTAATGGTATGAACACTCCTCCCTCTTTCTGGATTGGAATTCGTATGTATTACGCGAAGATGGGAGGAGCGTCCCGTCTCCAGTAGTGGATGCCTATAACAATGCAGGCGGAAGCACGTCATCGGGAGATGTCACATGACTCCGAAAACTGGAAAGCGGACGTCACCGGAAAAGGATGTGCCGCCATCTTGCTAACCCGGAAGAGACTGTAGTTAATGATAATTTATATGTTATATGCCCATAGAAATAATGTATGTCTCTATGACATGCCGAAAACTGGAAGCACCACCATCTTAGTGGTGGTGGGTTGCTTCCGGTCAAGGCCATATTTGGAAATGTAATTATCCCAATTTGCCTCTACACCTGTAACCCCACACCCTTTAGGGGGTATATATAGGTGTACAGACTATGGGAAAAATATGCTGCACCTGAGGAAGACCCCAAGAGGTCGAAACGCGTTGTGTTTTGTGGCTGAAACTTATTTGTTATTTTCTATTTATGGGAATAAAAATTCTACTTTGAACAATCTTCCTTGATTCCTGGGTTCCTGCAATCCCAGTAATAGAGGACCTTCAAGGAGAAAGACTCAGCATATCCCACTTTGGTGGATGAAATGCCTCTATAGTCCAGAGTCTCACTTATTTGGCTCTGGAAATTGTGAGTGTACTTTTTCCCTTCCTGTATTTTATACATTTATTGAAACAGTGTACACTATGTTATGCTCTTTATATTTTACATACAGGGTCCATTGTTAAAGGAGTATAACTACTAATAGGACCTGCATATATGTATTTTGGCTAAAGGTAAAAAATACTTCTGTGTCTATGCTCTATCACCTTTCTTATTCATTGGTGTATATACATACAAATACACACAAACACATACATACAGAGACACATACAGATGCATACAGACACACATATACACACAGACACATACATACAAACACATTTACATACACACAGACACATACATACACACATACATACACACAGACATGTAGACACACACATTCATACAGACACATGCATACAAATACACACAAACACAGAGACATACATACAGACACACATACACTAACACACACACATACATACAAACACATTTACATACACACAGACACATACACACATACATACACACAGACATGTAGACACACACATTCATACAGACACATGCATACAAATACACACAAACACGTACATACAGACAGAGACACATACAGATGTATACAGACACACACACATACAAACACACACACATACAGAGACATTCATACAGACACACATACACTAACACACACATATACATCCAAACACACATACATACAAACACACACATATACAGACACATACAAAATGTTTAAGTCACCCTCCTGTTTCCTATCTTTTAGATACAGGAGGGTGACATTCCCTGGGGTCCAGTGGTGGTTCAACTTTCTAGGAGTCAGAGTTCCTACTCTAACTCCCACCTCTCCTTCCTCCTGCGCAGCTTCCAGTGGTTGCTAGGAGGAGTGACTGGGGCTATCACTTCCTCCCAGTGTCTGAGCTCATCGCAGGGGGCCCGGTCACGTTGTTAAAGTGCCTCAGCGCTGACCGGGCCCCCTGGAAATTCATTTCCATCGGGTGGCCCTAACAGCAGGGGCCACCCGATGGGCCCCTGAACGTGCAGCTCTAGCAGTTCTTCCACGCGGGTTGGGGCCGCAACCCCTGGAGTGGCCAGGCTCCCTGGAGTGGCAGGCCCGGTCACAGCTGCGACCCCTGCGACCCCGGTAGTTGGCCACTGCTATTATGCAAAACCACAGCTCCTTAGACTAGTACCCAAATCTTTGCAACTAAAGAAATATGCAATTGACATGCTTGGTAGACCTATCCCATCCAATAACATTGCTCCATTCATTTATAAAAACAACAATATCAACCAAGAAGGACCACCACATAACCCATCCCTGTGTGCACGGAGGTGGAGAGAAAAATATATATCTATGGGGCCAGACAAGTGTTTCTTTGTCCATTACTGTAGGGTGCAGGGTCATAATAATGCTGGGCTTTGTGCTCCTTTATCATTGGACCAAGAGATGCCCAGAAGCCTGGTCCAAATAGCTACAGAGTCAAATTAAACTAAATTCACTGGTCCTATTTTAAAAAAGTAATAAAATTAGAAATAAAGTGATGAATGTTGAAATATTGAAATAATCATCATTAAAGGTTTTGAAAAGTTTTTCTCAGCCTTGAATATAACAGTTACTTGTAGGAGTGTATTTAAACCGCTAGCGTTACTCGCACACTGAGCTCAATATGATCCCTTGATGGAATAATTGCCTCACTGTAGGGAGCTGATGTTATTCAAATTTTCAGACATCTTGACTATAAATCAAATGTTACTTGTATCATTTAACGTAGAAAGCACATTATTCAACAGGGAAATAAACTGCCAGCAAGCAGTCAATGAATGTCACAAAGTATGCAAATAAGCCACAAGAAAATACAGAATTACAATTCAGAATGTTAAAATTTCCTCTCTGCACAGGTTGAACAGATTACTACAGCTCATATAATCTATGAAGCCAGTGCACTGTGATATGTAATGATTATATCACATTATTGTAATATATATATATATATATATATATATATATATATATATATATATATATTACAATAAAAACAAAAAGGCCTTGACCCTCACTTGTCATTTGATGTTTTACTCACTAAGCAACTGTTTTGTTTTTTAACAAAAAGCAAAATATCTGTTTATTTGCCAAGGTGTCTGCACATGTGAGATAATTAGAACTGTGGTGAACTAGGTTACAGAGCAACATTTTGTTACTCTGTGTATTATTTGCACAAATGATTATACAGTTGTTCTGCTATAATAATTGATGGAAATGTTTTTTTAGGCAACAAATGCACTTCAACAACACAAATCAAAAATTAAATCAATAAAAAAAATTAAAGGTATCCATACCATAAAGTGAAAATTGCATGGACTCTTTTCAAAATGTAAGACAGCCAATGTTAAGATATTGTTCGAGAGCACAATGGAAAAGGTGATGAGGTTGTGAGAAGTGCTGCAAATTATACTTTTGTCAGTTGAAGATTGATGAAACACTCCTTAGGGTCTATTTTTTTTTGTCTTTCAATGAGAGATGTTCTATTTCCTTCATAAATTGTTACCAGACCCATCAAATCTCAGTGGCCCCTCATCAATTTCAAAACTATTGAAAAAGTAAGAAGAAAAAACCTAGAGAGATATGCTTTACAAATGACAATTACATACATAACAAAACATATATCCTAAGTCTAATGTTGGCAAACAGATATTTAAAAATGAGGTTGCTGGGGCGCAGCATGGACACTGAAGGGTGCAGACGTGTGTCTGCAGAGCTCCCGCTGTTTACGCGGCATATACCCTTTTTTCAATGGCTTTTTGCTTTAATACTGCCAGAGACCGAGCCTGACTACACCATAAGATGGGCAAGAAGGCAAAACATCTCACACCCTCAACGCTCAGCCAAAGGCATACAAATAGACTGCTGCTTTAGATTGGCCAAATCAGCCAGAGCTCCGGCTGTGGTTTCACAGGACGTGCTGGTGCGCTTCCTCATGCTTCGAGACAGGATGGCGGTTCAAACCGCAGTGAAGAACAAGACGTCCTTCCACTTTGAAAAGATGCAGCTCCACTTTCTACAGGATTTATGTTGCTCCACTCTGACCTGGAGAAGATCCCTCCAGTGAGTCACACAGTCCTTTAGATTGGTGGGGATTGCCTATAAATGGGGCCCCTCACATACCCTGATAGCTACCAAGGATAGCCGCAACTACCACATCTCATCCACAAACACCATAGCAGCTTTTCTACAGAAATTGGGTATTACCCAACCTGCAACCACCAGTGAGGGGCAGACATGCACCTGGGATGTTTCCAAGATTATTCAGTTCACCCCACGATCTGTTGCCGACACCGGTTGATGCCATGAAGGACTCTTGGTGGCAGGTTTCATACCAAACTGAGACTCAGCATGCTCACATACATTCTGCTACTGTACAACTTTCGTTTTAGTTTTTACTTTAGTTTTAATCTAATGGTTTAGTTACTTAAGGTTTATCTACTTAACTTTAACAGTGTTATGAAGGTTCAATAAGTGCCTGCCCCAGATCTCCCTCCCCTCCCCCAGCGCTCAGGGATCATTGAGCGACGCATCACAGTATCTCAACTTACACAAGAAGTTCAGAATGGGTAACTCCCATTATTACTTTCACTCAGATGCCCACCTTGATTAGATCTCTTGTAAGCCCTCTAGTATCTTCCCGGTGGTGAACTACAAATAGCCAAACCTCTCACAATGACCCTACCTCCCCCTGATACTCCTATAACTAGCCTGAACACAGGCGATACCTGCCATAATCACCCTCAACAGGCTATACAGGGGAATGTAAAGAAAAGAAAGGAGGTTAGCGCTAATATTCCACTCACATTAAAATGAGCTATAGCCAGGTCAGGTATAACAGGCATACAGCGGAACAATCCCTGGTAATGGGATATATGGATGATTGTCCTCCAGAGGGAATGGTGTCCAACTCTCAGGAAAAGGGATATATAAAAACAACTAATAGTGTTCACTGTTTAACACAGTGTAAAAGTTGTTTAAATAAATAAAAATGGCGAATATAGAGTACGGGGTAGTACCAGATCCGACCATGTTAGCTAAGTTGGGTACTTGGCCCCTGACTGTTTTTTCTTACTTATATTATTTCTATTATTTATTTTACAATTGCTGACTGTTTTTGTTACTTATTTTCTTTTCTTCACAATTACTAGCAGGTTACACGGCATCTACATGCTATTTCTAACACAACGGCTAGCTAATTTCCTGAGAGTTTCAGCCTAGTGTCTCGAATTTATGACTCGTCTGTTTGGCTGGATACTCTATCTCGCTATCAGATTTGTTGTCTCTCTAACACAACTGCCTGACGCTTTTTGTTATAAAATCTCCTACCCAGTCATGTAAGTTCAGCATGTTTATTCCTTAAATATAAAAGCCTGGTCCAGACCAATCACTACTTAAAGCAGAACTGTAACTTGTGTGATCTTGCATTTTTTGCAGAGAGTCCAAGGTGACATAACTGTTTTTATGATGGCACTGTTGGGCATGGGGAACAGATAGATATTCATACTTTAACACCTCTCTCCTTGGTGCTGTCATGTTTCTCTTATTTTTTATTGGTGTACATTTTCCTATACCCAAGAGCATAAAACTGGGGTCTATAAAATATCCTGAGAAAATGAGGCATCCTCCACTGATGATCTTGCATCAAAAAATGATTTAAAATAAAGTTAAAGGAACAGCACACACACAAACATTTAACAAAGTTGCTTAAAATCACGTACCTTAAAATAAATATGGGGATTCAGTTATACCATATGACCATATTGTGTTAAGCCCACCACTACATCACATTACCCCAATATTGGTGGGTCCTACACTAATTTTAACATGGGAGATTTACATGCCAAGTTGCAATACTTACTTGCGGTTTAAACTGCTTCAAGAGACTCCTCAGTTTAAGCTTTCCTATGGTTACCTCCAAAGGGGCACCCTTAGTGGATGGGTAGGCTGCTCAGCCGATTAGGAATCTAGTCTAGATTCCAAATCTATACAGAAGAAATGGGAATTAGGGGCACAGCCAGAACATGCATTTC